CACCCAATATTTATTTTAAAAAGTTAAAAGCTGTGGGTGTTTTTTGTTTGTTTTTGCTTTTTGAAACAGGGGCTCACTATGTGGCCCTGGCTGGCCAGCAGGGAACTCACTTTTTAGACCAGGCTGGGTTTGAACCCACTGAGATCTGCCTGTTTCTGCTGCCCAAGCATGGGTCTTAAAGGCCTGTGCCACCACAGCCAGGTGGCTTTGTTGCTGTTGTTTTGGGACAGGGTATCATTCCGTAGTTCTGCCTGGCTTAGAACTTGTAATGTAGACTAGGTTGGCACAGAACTCAGATTGCCAGCCTCTGCCTCCTGAGTGCTGCAATTAACAGTCACATACTTTCATGTCCCATTTAAAATAATTCAAAATAAAATGACTTTTTTTGTCTGTTTGCAGGACTGGGTACTCAATGCAGAGCCCAAAGTTGCTCTACAATTGGAGTATATCCCTAACCTTTAAAAGTTTAATTTGTTTGATTGCTTTGAGACAGGTCTCTGTATTAGGCGTAATTCTCTAACTGAACAGAATTGATACAATAACCATGCACATCTTGAAAGGGATTGATGAGCGTGGTTTACAGACTGTGGACCAGGTGCCAGAGGCTGCTTAGTTGACCAGCTCCTGAGTGGGGAGTGAGGATTGAAAGAAAGGAACACACCACACTCAGGATCGTTTGAGTGGGCCGGCGGGCCTTAGAACCTGTAACACCTGGTTTATTCTATAATCCCTTTTCTTTAGTCAGAGCAAAGCACCTGGATACAAGGAAGTGGTTCCTGGAAAGGTCAAACTCATTTACCTGGACCACCTGTGTGTGTGATCCTCATGCAAACAAAAGGAAGTGAACTTGGCAAAACAGCCTGCTTATCTCCATCTCCAGGTGAAGGCCAGGGTGAAAACATGTTATTTGCTGAAAACTCAGTAACAAAGCAGCCTGACAAACAAGCAGCTCTCCACATCCAGGTGGTCCAATGATGGCTGTTTCCCTGAAAAGCCAAGAATCCATGAGTAGTTCAGTCCATGAAACTGAATGTCTTAGCAGTCTCAGTCTGGTGCAAGAGACAGTCCCAGAGAAGCCATAGAGAGCTTGGTCTCTGGTCTACATTGGAATCCCTCAGAAGGAGGTTGTAAAACCAGGGAAGAAATGCCTCAGCAACAGGACAGATGAACTTGCTCAAGTGAGGGCAAGCACACAAAAAGCAAGAGCTTCCTTCTTCCATGTCCTTTTACAAAGGGCTGCCACCAAGTACTGTGGCCAGATTGACGATGGGTTTTCACACCTGGAGTGCCCAGTTGCTTGGGTTTTAGTTGATTCAGGATGCAGTCGGGTTGACAACCAAAATTGGCCTCCACATTATTATTTATCCCAGACTTGCATGGTTTTCATTGTGAGCATGACCTTGAATTTATACCCTTACTCTGGAATGCTAGGATACAAAACTGCACCATTTTCCTCGGGGCTGAAGATTAAGCTCAGGGCTTCATACATGAAACAGAAGCACTCTACTAAAAGAGCTATATCTGTAACCATAAAGATAGATATTCTTGGGGCTGGAGAGATGGCTCAGGGGTTAAGAGCACTAGCTGCTTTTCAAAAGGACCCAGGATTAATTCCCAGCAACTGTCTGTAATCCCAATTCCAGAGTGCCCAACACTTTCACACAGACACGCAGGCAAAACATCAATGTACATAAAATAAAAAGAAAAATAATTATTTGAAACAAAACAAGCTCCTCCTCCAAAAAATATGATATTCTTAGGGGCTAGAGAGGCGACTCCATGGGCAGAGGACTTATTACTCTTTCCAGCACTATCTTAGTAGTTCACAACCACCTAACTCCATTCTCAGAGGATTCAAGCCCCTCTTTGCCCCCAAGGGCACATGGTACACACATTAATGCACACACATAGTTTCTTACAGGTAGACACTAATATACATGATATAATTTTTTTAAAAATTTCAAAAATAGCTGGGTGGTGGTGGCGCATGCCTATACTCCCATAACTCCACAGCCAGAGGCAGATGGATCTCCAAGTTCAAGGCCAGGCTGGTCTATAGAGTGAGTTCTAGACAGCCAAGGCTACACAGAGAAAGCCAGACTTGGAAAACAAAGAAACAAACAAACAAAACATTTTATATTTCAGATGGCTTAGCAGCTTAAAACACTGGCTGCTCTTCCAGGGGACAGAAGTTTGATTCCTAGCACCCACACTGAGCAACTCACAGGAGTTGTTGGGGTTTTTGGTTGTTTGTTTTTCCAGACAACATTTCTCTGTATATGTAGCCCTGGCTCTTCTGAAACTCACTCTGTAGACCAGGCTGCCCACCTGCCTCTGCCTCTTGAGTGCTGGGATTAAAGGCATGCACCATCACCACCTAGCTAGAAACCGTTTTTTAAGAGAGTCTCTGTACATAGCACAATAATCTCTATGTCGAACAGACTGGCCTCAGTCTCACAAAGATCTACCTGCCTCTGTCTCGTAAACTCTGGGATTAAATGCATGTGCAACCACACCCAGACTGACTACTCACTTTTTCAAAATGAGCCAGTTTGGGAAGACAATAAACGGGGGTGAGGGGGTCAGCTGGCTGGCTAACTGTACTGAACAAACAGCAGACAGGAAGTGACCTTTGTTTGTTTGAATCTTTGTTGAGAATCTTCGTTTTGTTTTTCGAGACAAGGTTTCTCTGTGTAGCCCTGGCTGTCCTTGATCACAATCTGTAGACCAGCCTGGCCTTGAACTCAGATACACCTGTCTCTACCTCCAAAGTGCTGGGATTAAATGTGTGTAACTGGGAATTTTAAGACCATGGTGATGATTGTCTGGGGTCTTGTTCATGTAAGAGCTTAAGTAACAAAACAGCAATGTGGAGTCCTGAATGTGAAAACAGACACACAGTCACACACTTAGGGAGGGCACACAAGGAAAGCTAGGACTTGCTCCAAGGATAGGTTTGGTTATCAGCCTCATGCGGCCACAGCCGGGGAAAGTGGCTCCACCATTACAAATGGGTCTGTTGTGTGAGAGATCTTCTGAATGTGTTCATAGAGACACGTCATGCAGTCAAGATGAGTGGAACCAAAGCTGCCTCGTCAAAGCAGAGTGGCCCTCATTCAAGTTTGCATCCATCTAAACATTACTAAAATATAAGGGAGGGTATTTTATTTTATTATTTTACTTTATTTTATTATCTTGAGACAGGGTCTCACTATGTAGCTCTGGCTGTCCTGGAACTCACTATGTAGACCAGGCCAGCCTCTAACTCATAGGGATCCACCTGCCTCTGCATCCCTCATACTGGGATTAAAGGCATGTCTGATTAAAGCCAATTATGAGACTTTTTTTAAATTTATGCTACAGTATCCATCATCTCAATCAAAAATTACAATATACTCATCTGCATGATCCATAACTATGTTCCTGGTCTACTCTGTAGCAGCTGATCAGAATCACCATCACAGTGTTAGGGAGTGGGCTGAGGCTTGTTTATTGATGCTGGTTACTGCCTGGGTACACCTATCCTTGTACCCGACCTGATTGGCTGATTAAACGGCCTATACCTGGGCAGGGCAGAATGGGGTAGGCGTGGCTAAGGACAGGAGAATCATGAGAAAGAGGTGGACAGAAAGAGAGGGGAAGGATGTCTAATGGCTAGACCAAGATGGGTTAGCTTGGAGGAGAAATCATGTGGGCTGGGAGAAAGGACGCCAGTAATGGTGTGAAAAAGCCCAGATGAAGAACAAGCAAGTATTTTGGGATTATGGATGGAAGGTAGACCAGATGAGGATGATTAAAGCGGATGGCATGGGATGGGGGCTGGGAGGTGGAGGGTGAAGTGATTGAGATAGTGTAGATAGAAATATCTTCCTGGCCGAAGGTAGTAAGGCGATTATAAAATCTGTGTCTTATTATTTGTGATAGCAGGTTAAATAATAACACCACAGTAATTATAGGGCTAATAATAAATATTATACAGCCTAACACTCATTTTTATTTACACACTTATATTTTATTTATACAACACCACACCTTTTGACTTTTCAAGGAGAATATTTTGCTGGTGTCAGCAGGATGAGTACAGTTCTATAGCAATCTTGTTTGTTTCACAGCATTTTTCTTTGCTGATGGCTGCTAAATTAATTTTTTGTTTTCCTCCTTGATGACATTAGTGATTCTAATTTCAGTTTCACATTTGTTTTTCTCTTGTTTTTCCCTCTTGTAACACTGGCAAAAAGCCAGGCATGGTGGCGCCAGCACTCAGGGAAGCAAAGGCAAGCAGATCTCTGTTGAGTTGTAGACCAGGCTGGCCTGGAAGTTCAGGATAGCCAGGGCTGTTACACAGAGAAACCCTGCCTCGAAACAAAGCAAAACAAAACAAAACACACACACACACAAAACCCCAAACCAAACCACTGGCAAAGGATCCAGTGATAAAAAAAAAAAAAAGTGAGCTAAAAATTTAATTTCTGCAAAAAAAAAAAAATTCATGCAACCTACTCTAGTGTTTAGTTTTGTTTTGAGACAGGGTTTCTATGTGTAGACCAGGCTGGCCCAGAACTCACAGAGATCTGCCTACCTTTGCCTCCCATGCTGGCACCAAAGGTGTGTGCCACCACACCTGGCTATCAAATCCCTCCTCCGGAGGACTCGAATCCAATGAGCTTCCCATCTTCACAGTTCTCCATACTGTTTCCTCGAAATACTCTTTAGTTTTTCATAGCGCGATCACGTGTATTACAGTTCCTGTTTATTTCTGACTTTCTCTCTCTCCTCTAGTATGACAGCTCATCAAGGGCACTGCGCCCTTTCGGGTCCTATTAACCAGTGCATCCCCCAAAACCACAATAAAATGTGTGCCCTGGAAATCCTCCACATTGTTGGAGGAAAAGATTAGCAAGTGGACCTAGGCATCTATGGAGGGCAGTGTGAGGAAGTCTCCAGGGTTTTTAAATGCATTTTTTCTCCTTCAGACTCTCATAAACTCACAGAAGAAGGGGGGGAGGGACAGGAATTTATTTCTCCAGTCTTCAATCAACAGATTTTAAGGAAATAAACAAGTTATTAGAATAATACATGACATCATATGGATATTTCTACTTTCATTAAAGCAAAAGAAAGAAAGGAAGATGAGAACACAAAAGAAACAAGCCTTTAATAACACCTGCTGTTTTGGCTGAAGTCAGTATAAAGAGATGTCTTTTGAAGCAACAAAAATAGTAAAATAAAGTGTGTTTATGCTTGTTGCTAACTGTGCCAGTCCAGCTGAGCTGCAAGAGTGAAGATTCAACTGATCCTGCAGAGGCAGTCTTTGAACCTCCAGCCTTCCTGCAGGTCCTTCATCTCCCTACAGGAAGTATGCCTAGGGGCAGCAGCACAGCAGTGCCTGCCAGCCCTCAGATAAGAACGTCCACACACTATACAGTACAAAAGAGTTCCTGAGGAGGCCAGGAAAGATGCTTCCTTGAATTTCTCTCTTGAAAATGTTCTGTGGTGAGGTCAACCGGGCTATTTCAACTCTTCTGTGTCCATGGACCACCTGCTGCAGGTAACAAGGCTGCTGGCTGTACATGGATCAGTGAGGCAGGAGTAGCCAGGCCAGCACAAAGTCACAGGCCCACTCTTCTAATGTTGGGTCCACTTGATGCTCTTGAGGTCAATGCCATCCTGCACCATCTCCCAGAGAGGACTGCCAAAGAGAAGAGGCACTGAGGGAGGAGGCTTAGATAGGAAGCAGTAGCCTACACTGCCTCTCAGGCCCCAAAAATGATTTGCCTCTTTCTATCCTGTTGCTCCTCTGACTTTTGCCCTGGTGAACCCCAATACAAGAGATGAACAAGCCTTTCCCAGCTTCTTTAAGTCCAGGTCAATCCCAGCATCTTCCTAACTTCCAAAATCAAGAATACCATCTGGCTTTAACCCGAAAGGATGTCTGAGATCTCAGGCCTGACCATCCCTTTTGTACAAGAAATGCTACTGAGAAGACTGTGGGTAATGATCTTAGACCAGATTTGCTTTGATGGTGGTGGGAATGATGACGATGAGAATTGTTTGCTTTTGCCTCTGAAGATGAAGCCCAGAGCCTCACACACTAGGCATTCTCCTCTGCTGAGCTACAGCCATATACTCAACTATTGAATTTTGTGGCTTCTATTTCCCCAATGAATTTTCTTCAATGTTACTGAATCCTATCCTTTGTTTTTGTATCTGAAGAAAGGTCTTACTCACAGTCTTTTTGGGGCAGGCTGAGAGCTATAATGTCAGACATGGACCTGAATCCTGGTTTTGGCCTTGTGCTTATTTAGGCAGATTCTACCACCGAACTTTTAACCTCAGCCTTCCCTTGATTTTTGTAGGGCTTGGTATCAAACCCAGGGCCTTTTCTTTTCTTTTCTTTTCTTTTTTTTTAAGATTTATTTATTTATTATTTACACAGTGTTCTGCCTGCACACCAGATCTCATTATAGATGGCTGTGAGCCACCATGTGGTAGCTGGGAATGGAACTCAGGATCTCTGGAAGCGCAGCCAGTGCTCTTAACCTCTGAGCCATCTCTCCAGCCCTCCCAGGGCCTTTCCTAATGCTAGGCAAGCAACCTCGATGCTATTACAAAAACCTAGTTTTTAAAAAAACATTCTGAAAAACAAGAAGCTAAGGAGGCCTACGTTCTTGCTTTGTGGAATCCTTGAGTCCTATAGGCTCTTTAAACTTGGGCTCTGGCAGTGTGAATACAGAGCCTACGGACAAGACGGCAGTGAGCAGCACAACTCCTCCCAAGGAGTCTGCACGCAGCAGTGCATACCTCATTTCTCGAAGACGTTTCACATGGTAAATGCACTTCTCCACAGTGTAGTCCACTTCCTCTTCTGTTGTGAAGCGGCCAATGCCAAACCTGAGGTAACACAGAAGATCTCTACACCTGGCAGCAGGTTCGATTTTGTTTTCTTGACTAATACTCACTGAGGACCTACTAACTCAATCCTAAAGAGAGGGCTGGGAGTGTAGTTCAGTTGGTAGGGTTCTTGCTTAGCATGCACAAAGTCCTGGGTTCAACTACTGACTGCACAAACGGCATGGTGGCACATGTCTGAGATCGCCGCAGAGGAGTGGAGGCAGAACAAGCTGGGTCACTCGTGGGTACAGAGTGAGCTAGAGAGACGCCAACAGGGCTACATGAAAGCTTCTGGCTCAAGGAAAGAATGAAAAAGGAAGAGCACAGCCCTACCTTTCTAGGTAAAAGTTCTTAGAACATAGCTTGTGGATCAGAATCAATTGAGAAGCCTCCTACGCCTACTCCAGATCTGGTAGGCAGGGGATCTGAGTAGAAGACTCAGACATCTTTATCTTCATCAAGATTCAAGAAGTGGGCTAGAGAGATGGCCAAGTGGTTAAGAACATTGGCGGTTCTTCTAAAGGCCCCAGTTTTAATTCCCAGCACCACATGGCAGCTCACAACTATCTGTTCTAAGAACTCCTACACCCTCATGCAGACAAAACACCAACACACATAAAAAAGCCGAAAAAATAAAAGATTCATAAAGGGGGCAGGGACACAGCTCAGCAGGAAGAGTGCTTGCCTAAATGTATGCCTCCCCAAAACTGCAGGAGGCATAGTGAACACACACCTGTAATCTCAGCACTCCAGAGCTGGAGGTCTGAGGACAGAATTCAAGGCCAGTCTGGGTTCCTGACAAGATGTTACCTTAACAAATCAGGAATACAGCTGGGCATGGTGGTGCACACCTTTGAATCCCGCACTCAGGAGGCAGAGCTAAGCGGATCTCTGTGAGTTTGAGGACAGCCTGGTCTACAGAGTAAATCCAGGACAGCGTGGGCTACACAGAGAAACCCCGTCTCAATGCCCCCTTAAACAAACAAACAAACAAACCCAAAACACCAGGAATATACACCCACTCCTATGAACACCCACTCACTCCCTCTCTCTCTCTGCACCGGAGTTCACTGACCTGATGGAGGAGTGTGCTAAATCCTCATCAGCACCAATCGCTCTGAGGACATAAGAGGGCTCCAGTGATGCAGAAGTACAGGCACTAAGGATGAAGACATAAGCCTTTCAGTGCACAGGATACACCCAGGGTCAGCCCTCCCAGTGCCCTAGAATCATAGCGTAGGGACAAAAGAGATATGGCCAGGAAATGTGCTGGGGCCTGGTGATGCCCTGTAGAGCCTAGGACTAAATCCAGCCTTTCTGGTCCCTACAGTAGATGGCGTCCTTAAGCAAGTACGCTGTCAAAGACTGAAAGGGCATGACAGCCCATGCACTGGAACTGACAGAAGAGCCAGAGAACCTCCTGTGCGCAGGGCAGAAAACAATGTGTTACCCTGGAGGACAGATAAACCTTGGTGGCTGACAACTGTTAGCCCAGTCCTGCGAAGGACACATACATCTTCATCCAGGCGCGGCGGGGCACATCTTTATTCCCAGCCCTCGGGAGGCAGAGGCAGGAGGAGCTCTCTTAGTTTGAGGATAGCCTGGTCTACACAGAGCATTTCAGGATAGCCAGGGCTACATAGAGAGATCCTGTCTCAAAATAAAACAAAAAAAAAAAGATACCTGCATCTTCTAGGACCTAAAAGTCACCAGCTGCTAAGAGAGACCTGTTAGAATGGTGACATCAGCCTGTGGCCACCAGCAGAAGAGTGGCTCTACCATGCTGGCAGCCCCACCAGGAAGCTGCAGGACATGTACGGCAGTTAACAGGCAAGCTAACTGGTGCTCCCACAGTGCCTGCCCCCTTGGTGCAACTCACCTCCCTGACGACAAGGCCACATCCTTGAGGGCCATCAGCAGACTCTCCCCTTCCACATACGCAAAGGACAGGTTGATACAGCCTGAAAAAGAGAACATTCCACATTGGCGCTCTGGGTCTCAGCGTCTGCCAAATGGAGGCTCAAAGCTGGAGGCAGAGCTCATGGGCACACAGCACACCTGGCGTGGAAGAGGCGAGCATAGCCACAAAGTATTTTTCAAAAACAGAAACAGCATGGTGGGGGTGAGGAGGAGACCGGGTGGCTCAGCAGGTATAGCCCTCGCTGCACACGCCTAAGTTCCATCTGAGACCCACGTTAAGAGTGGAAGGAGGGAACAGACTCCACGAAGCTGTCCTCTGACCGCTGTAAGTGCACTGTGGAAGGCATCCTCCAGCCCCACATAATAAAAGCCGTGCCTCAAAGAAAACCAAAAAGGGAAGGACAGACGTAGATTGAGAGCGCACGTCCGTACCGGGGTAGTGCTGTGTAGGGTCGCCGTTCATCACCACATCCGGAAGGCTCTTCATTATCTTCCGTGTCAGCCGCTCTGCTAACCGGGAGATCCGCTTATGGTCGTACTAAGGAGTGGGCAGGGAGAACTAAGTACAGGGACCAGCCACCGGCTCAGGCAACGCACTCCAGAAACCCTTCTCCTCTACCCAGGCGTGACTAGGTACCGCACAGGCCCTTCTTGTCCTGTGTGTGGAGACCACTGGATCTCCAGCACTGGGTGCCGTGCCTGGTGTATGAAAGGTGCTCAGTAGCTGAAAAGTTTAGCAACCTAGAGAAGAATGGATTGGTAACTACAAGTAGGGCATATATGTGGTTTAATCGCCTCACAAGGGGCCGCAGGAATAAGCAAAGCAGGCTTTTATTTCAGTGTGTGTGTGTGTGTGTGTGTGTGTGTGTGTGTGTGTGTGTGTGTGCGCGCACACGTGAGAGTTTTACATTCACTTACTGAACCCAGCCTTGTACATCCTAGGCAAGTACTCTGCTACTAACCCAGCCCTTTACTTTTTGTTTTGATCCAGGGTTTTGCTGTGTAGCCCAGGCTGGCCTTGAGCTGAAACTTCTCCTGCCTTAGCCTTTAAGCACAGGATGCCAGACCTGACTCAAAGATGGGGTGTTCTGAGACCTCCTCTTCCTGCAGCAATCAGATGGCTGGGCGGGGTGGGCTGCTGAGAGGGAACTGTTCTCCCAGACACCTACCTCCATCTCTTGTTGTGCCAACTCACATGCAGCTCCCAGCCCCACCACCAAGGGTGTGGGCACTGTCCCAGACCGCATACCCCGCTCCTGCCCGCCTCCACTCTGCAGGGCCTCCACACGTACCCGGGGTCTCCGGCGGACATAGATAGCGCCAACCCCTAGAGGAAGAAACGTTGTTACAGAAAAGAAACGAAACTCAGATGAAACGAAATATTACTTTCTTTCTTGATAATGTTTTTAAAGATTTATTATGTATACAGTATTCTGCCTACACACCAGAAGAGGGCACTAGATCTCATTATAGATGGTTCTGAGCTACCATGAGGTTGATGGGAATTGAACACAGGACTTCTGGAAGAACAGCCAGCAGAACCATTCTTTCCCAACCTCTGAGCCGTCTCTCCAGCCTCCCAAAATGTTACTTTCTAAAGAAATTAAAATACAGGTGATGTATGCTTGTAATCCCAGCAATCAGGGAGGTAGAGGCAGGCAGAGGCAGGTAGAACGTTGTGTGTTCAAGGTAAGCCAGGTCTACAAAGCAAGTCCAGTCAGCCAAGGCTACACAGAGAAACCCTGTCTCGAAAAACAAAAACAAAGCAAAACAAATTGAAATATTATTTCAAGTTTTATACTTAATTTTTTCTAGATTAAAGAAATGCAACATGGAAACTGATTACTTTGTAAGCTTATTTAAAGTTTATAATTTAAAAAAGAAATAAATGGTGTTGTCCACATACAAAAAACAAAACAAAAACAAATGAAAAGAAGAAATGGAAAAGGCATAATATTTAGCAAAAGTATTCAACAAGTTATATATACAGCAGGTATAATATATAATATGACCAAAATTGTTTCAAGCAGCTCCCTATGCATGAATGAAATGACATCACACCGGTTGGGGAGATGCTCAGGGTTAAGAGTAATGTCTGCTCTTCCAGAGATCACCTTTTGAATTCCCAGCAAACTTGACCATCTATACTGGGATCACATGCCCTCTTCTGGCGTGCAGGTGTACATGCAGACAGAACATTGTATACATAAGAAATAAATCTTTAAAAATAAAAACATATATAGATATTTTAAAAAATGACATCACATACGGATTATTCTTAAGAGAATTAGAAACCCACTAGAGAAAAGGCACGTACTGCTCTTGAAAAGGACCTGTGTTTGGTTCCCAGAAGCATAGAGTTTACAACTGCCTGTAACTCCAGCTCGCGGAGGTTCCATACCCTGCCCTCTTCACAGGCACCTGCATTTACTTTTGTAAAACCCATATACAACCATGTAATAATAATAATAATAATAATAATAATAATAATAATAATAATAATAATAATAATAA